TTTCGCCCTATAGCAAAAACTTCTCCAAAAAAAAAAAATGCAAAGCACTTGGAACATAGTAATGCCATTTGTTATAGTAGTAAGATGTTTAGAATATTGCTTAGCATATAATAGTAAAATTTAGCAATAGCTGTTACTACTGCTATGGCACTATTATTTTACTATATCCCGGGTTGGACTGTTTCCCTGTTCTGCAAAGGTTCTCTAGAGATTGTCCAGGAAGCAAAACACTTAGAGTACATCTGTTAGGAATTCTGCCCTGTGGTAGTCTGTTTGGGCTTCAAATAGAGGTTTAGATCTGAAGAGATTCTTAGTAAACATCTAGTCCCAACACTAGAGGTTAAGTGACATGCCCAAACTCATACAAATAGTAACTGTTCAGGTAGCAAAACCCAGGTCTCCTGATTCCAGTGTTCTTTCCATGGACTCATAGAAGAGAGAATGTGTGGGTATATCCTCAATTCAAGGAAGCTTCTAAGTCAGTCTCTAGAGTTAGCTGAAAAACTTTTTTTTTTTTTGAAAATTTTTTTCTATAGGGCATGTATGCTCACCAGAGAGACAGAAAGTGAGAAACTAACCCCCACCTCAGGGTAGATGGCCAGGCCACAATCCTTTTTCCATTGTCCTCTCAGGATTTCGGGCACACATGCATGTGCACCTGACATGAGTTTCAAGCTGCTGGGTCCGGGATTTGAACCATGGTCGATCGCATGGGAGTCCAGCACCTTAACCCACTACACTACCTGCTGGCCCTGAAGAACTCTGAAGAGCTAGAGAAACTCAAATATCCTTAGTTTTTGGGTCATCGCTGTCTAGTTCCTCCATAGGGAATTTGATCAGAATTCCCATAGCTCTTTTTTTTTTTTGGAGAGGTTTTTGCTATAGGGTGCGTGTGCTCACCAGAGAGACAGAAAATGAGAAATCATCTCCCAGGGGGGATGGCCATGCCACAATCCTTTCTCCTCCATTCTCCTCTCAGGATCATGGGCACGCACACACCCGTGCCTGGTGTGAGTTTAAGCCACCGGGTCTGGGACTCGAACTGCAGTCAACTACGTGGGAGTCCAGCAACATAGCCATTACGCTAACTGTTGGTCCCAAGAATTCCTATAGCTATTAAACATGGCCCATATTATTATTTTGACTTCACTTGGATTCCTTTAATACACTTTCTGGCTACATTAAACAGAATATGCTAGGCATAATTTAATATTTTTGAGAACTCAGAGTCATCATTAATAACATTAGTTTTATTGGTCTAATGGTCACAAAAAGCATTGAAAAGAGCTAATCATATTGAGGTTGGAGACTTATGTTGTTGGGTATTACTAATTTAGGATAGTTCTCCCCATCCGTCATCCAGAGTTTCACATTCTTTGGTTTCAATTATCTCTAGTCAACTTTAACTCCAAAATATTAAAATATGATATTCCAGAAATTAATAGTTCCTAAGTTTTCAATTGTGTGCCATTCTGAATAGCATGATGCAATTTTGTGCTGTCCAGCTCTCTTTTGCCTGGGATGTAAATAATTCCTTTATCTATTGTACCCATGCTGTATATACTGTCTACTCATTAGTTACTTAGTAGCCTTTTCAGTTATCAAATAATAATAAAAAAAAACATAGATAGAGTTCGATACCATCCAAGGTTTCAAGCATCTATTGGGAGTCTTGGAATGTATCCCTCTGAGGATATGGAATGTATCCCTCTGAGGATAAGGGGTGGCTCTGTATACCAAACATTTCGCTGGGCCTTAGAAATGCAATGGTCTGTGAAAGTAGGTATGATATGTGCTCTCATGAAGCTTACCAACTAGGGAGGGTGGTACAGTGGTAATACTTGAACTCTATGA